TATACATAATAAATAAATAAATCTTAAAAAAAAAAGACAGGAGCTATATGCTGTTTAATGCCACTAAATTTGGAGTACTTTATTACCAGCAGCAAAAGGAATACCTAAAAGCAAAAATAACTAAAAAATTAGTGTTCAGTTAAAAACAACATCTTGAGAAGCAGAGACAGTGATTGCCTTACCTTCTAAGAGGGAATGATCTCGAACAGCTTCCGCAGCTAGTACCGACTTGCCGCAGCCTGCCATTCCATATATGGTGACCCACCCTGGCTCTCCATTCAGTTTCCGGAGCTTGTCCTGAACCGCACTGACCAGCTTCTTTCTAGGAACGAAAACAACTGGCCTCTGTGGCACTCCACCTTCACACAGCACGGTCCTTACTGAAATCCAAACAAGTAGGAATGAACAAAACCTTGAAGCAACTGCTTTTTGAGTAATCCTCCCATGAAACCCAGGCAAGCAAGGCTGACGGCTTAGCCTCAAAGTTCAAAATATGGTAACTAGAATATGAACTTCACCCTTCCACCGTCTCAGAACACAGAGAACAAGAATAAGCACGTATTCTTCAAGATCACCACACACAATGGAAGTCTCCATCTATCCCTGCCTTCCACACACTGTTGTTCCCTGACCCTCTAGCCTCTTCTCTTTGTTGAATACTGGGAAGGACTAAGGGTATACAATTCAGTGCCTGAGTTTGCTTAACATGTGCAAGGTCATAGGTGTGATCCCAAGAACCATAAAAAGAAGGGGAGGGAAGAGGAGAGAAGAGGAAGGAAAGGAAGAAGGGAAAGGGAAGGGGGCAATAAAGTGGCTCAGTAGGTAAAGGCACTTGCTGCTAAGTATGAGGACCAGAGTTCCAATCCAGTTGTCCTCTGACTCCCACATGTGCACACACTATAAATAAATGTGTTTTTAAAAAGGAAACTTGGGCCGGGCAGTGGTGGCGCACACCTCCCAGCACTTGGGAGGCAGAGGCAGGAGGATTTCTGAGTTCGAGGTCAGCCTGGTCTACAGAGTGAGTTCCAGGACAGCCAGGGCTATACAGAGAAACCCTGTGTCAAAACAAAACAAAAAGTGAAACTTTTCCCAGACAGTGGTGGCACACGCCTTTAATCCCAGCCAGCACTTGGGAGGCAGAGGCAGGCAGATTTCTGAGTTCAATGCCAGCCTGGTCTACAGAGTGAGTTCCAGGGCAGCCAGGGCTACACAGAGAAACCCTATCTCAGAAGAAAAAAAAAAAAAAGAAAAGATCCAATGCCCTCTTCTGGCCTCTGAGGACATTAGGTATACATACACATGGTACACAGGCATACATGCAGGTAAAACATGCAAACACAAAAAATGAAAGTTTTTTTTAAAAGAATACAAATCTCTAAAAATTATTTTCCTGTTCTATAAACTCTATATAAACACACAAATAAAAATAATTAAAGCCCTATAAAAGCTCTTATTAGCTCTAAAATTTAGGGTACACATCCTACTACCTCACCAGTAAGTACTTCACTGAGCAAGGAAAAAAAATGGATTAACATAAACACAAATAAATATTTAAATTTAACTTAAAATATTTTGGCACATGCATTGGTCCATGAACTGAAATACACTCTCCAGCAATTTAACTACATTCAGAGCTGCAAGCACGGCAGTCATGAGTGTGGCAATATGACACAAGGTTTCAGGGATACAAACCAAATGAAGTTATTCCACCATCTGGGTCCTTGCCACTGCAAGAAGATACAAGAGGAAGACCGCTGTGCAGAAGCCCAGCAAGGTCTTTATAGCCCTCACGTAGTAGAGCATTGTAGAACGAAATGTAGGCACAGTTGTCTTTATTAAGTATCATTTTAATTAAAGCGGCAGCTCGTTGATATTGAGTGGCCTGAAAAAAAAAATTGAATAATGTAAGAATATACCAGTGAATGTGTTTGCAGCACAAATTAGTGAAGATTGGTGTAATTTCAATTCCCAGCAACCACATGGTGGCTGACAACCATCTGTAATGGGATCTGATGCCCTCTTCTGGTGTGTCTGAAGAGAGCAACAGCATACTTTTTTTTTTTTTCTTGAGACAGGGTTTCTCTGTGTATCCCTGGCTGTCCTGGAATTCACTCTGTAGACCAGGCTAGCCTCGAACTCTCGAACTCAGAGATCTGCCTGCCTCTGCCTCCCCAGTGCTGGGATTAAAGGCGTGCACCACCACTGCCCTGCTAACATACTTAAAAATAAATAAATAAATAAATCTTTTTTAAAAAAAAAAAAATGTTAAAACAGAATACCTCAGGGACTTTTTACCTGACTTTTGACCTTTTCCTCCTCTACTACTGTTAAGACGCCATTACTGATCATGTGATCCATGATGTAGGGCGTTTTGATGTCCTTTTCCAGAGCTTCTCTATGTTGAAGCAAACAATTGCGGGCCTTTGCATCCATTGTCCCTCAGGTTTTTTTTCTCTCCTGACTGTCGAGCATGAGCTAAAGGCAAACCACCAAGATATCTGTCATGACGAGCAATGGGATGTGTAACCCCAAGATTTTTTTATTATTGGTTAATTAGGGTTTATATATAAAATGGAACATTACACAGCCATTTAAAACTCATATGGTGTATATTTCAATGCAAAACACATGCTGTCAAGGAAAGATATTTCTGACACTGCTAACTTAAACATTAGAAATAAGGCCTCAAATAACACACAATGCGTTGTGTCACATTAATGTATTAAGATGCTCAAGAGTCTGTGCACCAAAGTGTTTGGGAGACTGATAGCAAGAGTCTGGCTTTCTTCCTTTGTAACTGTATAAAGTGTTGCCATTTTTCCAATACACACATTTTTTTACAGTAAATTTTTTCACAATAAAAATTCTTCCTTTTCTTAGGCTGAGGTCCTATAAAAGCTACTGTAATACTTAAGTTCTAATCCTTTAAAACGTGTTTCCTTTATCCAATTTAAAAGCCAAGTGCCATTGCTGATACTGGCTTCTCAAAGTGGGTGTCAGCCCCAGATCTTCATTAGTAAGCACATATTCTCAGAACCACAGGAAATTCCCTCTGATGTCATTTCTTGGACGAAGGTAACGAACAAAGAATATTATGCTTTACAGGAAGATACTTTTTCATTTCCTAACAACTTCCCTACAATACAACAAAAATGATTCCATGGGTATAAAGTTCAGTTTTGAATGTTTGCAACTTGTAAAAGCACTGACAAAACTCCCTCCAATGTAGTACCAGTGTGAATGTCTGAAGTAGGCTTCATCATTCCTTCAATATGGGTGTGTGTGTGTGTGTGTGTGTGTGTGTGCTGATGAACAAATATCTACCATTAGTGCTCCATAATCTCAGCCCTCATACATACTGAGCCCTTCTTGAGACTAGAGAAAATTAAGTCATATCCCTGAATTTACAATCTAGTAAAAAACAAAAATAACAAAAGAAGTAATCAGAAGTTGACTATCCTAAATGCAAAAACTGAGATACACACAGAGTAATATACAGAGCACCGAAGAAGGGAAAGTATCATTCAACTTCAAAAATATAACTTTTTTTAAGTCATCAAATATAGCACTTGAAAAAAATAAAGAAGTCATTCGTTTGTGCGCCCAGGACTGAAATGAAACTAACTGAAGAAAGAAGAAAAATCAAAGAAAAAGAAATGATCAGAAACAAGACTAACATTTTTAGTCTCCTAAAAGTTTCTCAACTTACAGTTATGAAGGATTTTTGGTTATGTCCAACAATAAAGCAAAAAACAAGTACTCTTTGACAACTGAGTTCCAATTTTCTCTAGCCTTACTGAACTCAAATATATAAGTTTTAAACGACTTTGATCAAACTTCACACAAACTGGAATATTATGGACAAATTTCCAGGGCCACACCTCTTTGTGGCCACATCAAAACAGAAAGTCAAATTGGTCCAAGATACAGACCACAACATAAAGGCTAAGTCCGTCTAGGAAAACAGTAACAGTAGTCTACTTCCTCCTTAGATAAATTCTCTTCCTGGTACAGGAGCAGGAGGATGATTACCAAACATCTCGAGTCCTCTGATCTTTCAGTCCCTGGGAGCTACAACAGAACCTGCAAAGAATCTGTCCAGAGGGGTTTGGGGAGGCCGTGAGGAAGGCTGTAAACTTACCCAAGCCTTTGCACCGGAGTTGTGCTGGGAAGAGCAGCCTGGGGAGGGTCGGTCACAGATGAGAATCGATAGAAAGCAGCGCGGGCTCCCGCCTGGCTTCCGGCAACCCCGCGCCCCGGGCAGGTCCTGACACCTCAGGTGCCTCACCTGGGTATCGGCCGCTCGGGGCGCAGGGGGGATGCCCGGGATCTCCGAGCGGCGTCGAGGGGTGGTCACCTCGGTGGGCTTGCCTCGGGTCGCACCAGAGGAGGGCACTCGGACACAGGACACAAAAGCACGGCCACTCGAGCCGCCGCTTCACCCCTCCGGCGGGTGCTGCCCGGGCGGGAAGCGGACGCCGCTGGGCAAGCTGCCGCGACGGTCTCAGATCGTCGCCGGTGGCTGACCGCACACACCTCTCGCTGCCGACCGCCACACACCCCTCTCACACCCTCCCGCGAGTGCAGAAAGCCGCCTGCTCCGCTAGCGACGGCCAGGTCTCTGCCTCAGGACCGCGGAGCACTCAAACACCGCTGGGCCCGCCCAGTCCACACAGCGCGCGCCCCCGCACGCAAATTCCCTCACCCAGGGCCCCGCCGCCGCCGCCGCCGCCGCCGCCGCCGCCGCGCGCACGCGCGCTCCCCGCCCGGCGCGCGTCCGCAAGGCCAGGTTGCGCGTCCTCGCATGCGCAGTGGGCAGGGGCCAAGCCGCGGGCGCGCGCCCAGCTAGACGTGGCACTCTCGGCCCCGCCCCCTCCCGGCTCCTCCCCGCAGCCTGCGCGCACCCGCGAGTTTGAGTTTCCCGCAGACTCAGTTTGGTAGCGGAACCCGGAGGCGGGGCGAGCAGCTTGGGGGCGGGTCACAGCCTTGAGAGGGCGTAGCCTTCCGAAGCAGCCCTGCAGCCACGTCCCACGGTCCCCCTCTAAAGCCATCCTGGCTTCGAGATCTTCAGGGATCCAGACATGTCTGAAGTGAAGAACCGAAAGAAGCCGGGGCCCAAAGTGGCTGCCCCTGAGCCCGAGAAGCGAAGTGATAGCAGGAAAAACCCCGAGGCGCGAGGTGGCGCGGGCTGGGCGGACCCCCGCACCGGGCTCAGCCTGCTGTCTCTGGCGACGAGCCTGGGCCTGGCCTGGTAAGTGAGCGATGCTGCAGGCCGTGGGTCGGGCCTCGCGTGGGCGCCTAGCACCTCGAGCCAACCCACTCTCGCTTGAATACGCTCATTTAACTCTGTTCTGGTAGCATGTTCCTGTCGCTGCCCGCTAATGTCTGGGAACATGTCACCCAGGACTCGGCTCACACTTAATTAAGCATCTACTGCACGTCACAAGTTTGCACATAACTAAAAACCGCTACTTCCCGTCCTCTCTGCAGCTTTGCGGATGAGTTTGCTCCACCCTTCCCCAAAAAATGCACGAGTAAAATGTCTGCAGCCTAATAAAAGAGTTCGTTGTTGCTGAGCAACAAATGCTAATGAGACTTCCTAAGTGTGCCTACGTGAAAACTATAGTCCTTTTTAAGATTTATTTTTGTTTATGTGTATGAGTGTGTCTGTGTATTTGTGCACGAGTGTGCAGGTGCGCAAGAATCCCATAGGAGAGTGTCCGATCCGAGAAGCTGGAGTTACCAATGGTTTGTAAGACACCAGACATGCATGTTCTTAACAGCTGACTAAAAGACTATGTAGTCTTATTCCTAAATTACAAGTTGAACTGTATGTAACGCTGTAAAGAATATGTTTCCCCTTAAGACTAAACATTCGTAGTGTTTCGTTATTGTTGTTGTTTTGGTTTTTCCAGACAGAGTTTCTCTGTGTAGCCCTGGCTGTCCTGGAACTCACTCTGTAGACCAGGCTGGCCTTGAACTCAGAGATCTGCCTCCCTCCACCTCCCTAGGGCTGGTGTTAAAGGCATGTGCCACCACAACCCGGCTATATAACACATATAATCCAGCTATATACACATATTTTTACACTTTATTTGCAGTAGTGGGGGCACCACCACCCCGCTCAACATTTGTAGTTTTGAAACCAAGCATATATTGGTGGTATATTAGTGTAATGTGGAATAAGAGAGCTACAAATAGAATTCAGAAGAGACTCTGGATATCCTCCAGGCTAGAGCATTTTTGATGTTGGTATATTTCCATTTTAGTTTATTGGTGACACCCTGAGTCCTTCGGTCTTGGAGGGTTTATGGTTGAGTAGTTGGTTTAGTTTTTTGAGACAGGCTCTTAGGTAGCCTAGGTTGGAATAGGAACTCACTATGTAGCTGAAGATATCATTGTACCCCTGATCCTCCTGCCTCCACCTCCCAAGTCCTAGGAATTTGCCACCTAACCCTGCTTGAGTGCTGGGTTTTGTTTTAAGTTAATAAAAACGTGTTAAACTGAAATATGGATCAGTGTTCTCTTTAAAAAGAACTTTAATGATGGTGTTAGTAATCAAGGAATATATTAATTTTGATCTAAATGTATTGGAAATGCTGTCTTAAATAAACAATTCATACCTTAAAATGCATGGCCTTTTTTAGGTAAATGGGGACATGGTACATTTTGTATTGGGAAAGAATATTACTGAGTTATTGTTGGTTCTCTCGAGGTCAGTGTTTCTCACCCTGTGGATTTCGACCCCTACAGGGGTCACATATCAGATATCCTGCCTATCAGATATTTATATTATGATACATAATGATACATGTTCTTCCGGATGGGGGTCTAGCCTCATACTCATGGCAATTCTCCTACTTCTCCTTCCAAGTACTGGGATTGCACACATGGACCACCACACCCCATCTTTCCCTGGTTTTAAATAATAGAATACAGTCAGTGTCCCCTTGAACATTAGGTAACTGTAGATGGTATGAACTGATGTTAAGTGGGAATTGACCCTATTAGTGACCCTGTAATGAACCATAATAACTGCTTCCTGTGACTGTTTTCTCTTTCCCAGTACTAAATTGAAAGAACAGCAGAGAAATCCTTTAAGTCCTCAGTCAGCTGTCTGCCGCCATGTAAGAGTCCCTCAGAGGTGGCACTATGCACCATTCACTAGCACAGGGTCCTAAACTTGCTTGAGGCCTGGGTAGACCGCAGTACCTGTGAGGGGCTGAGAATGCATTTGGAAGGTCCACACTGAAGGCGATCCCTTGTGAGTCCCTTCCTCCCGCATCTAACACATTTAAGACTTTACCTGTGTGATAGTGTGAAAGCCCAAACAAAGTCCCGCTCCCATAGGGACGTACAAGTGATCGATACGTCTATCCCCTGCTTGGATTGTTACCAAATCAGCCCTCTAGCTCAGCTTCGTGTCCAGTGGTAGGACTACGGCTGTGACCAAGTGCAAGCAGAAGGGAGTCATAGGCCTTTCAACAGACAGCCAGAAGCATGTAGAAGGGATGGGAAAGTGCACAAAAGGATCCAAAGAGAGAACTGAGGAGCACTTACTTCCCTGCATCCGTAAAACTTGTGTGCCCTCAGGAGCACTCACTTGCCTAGCATTTGCAAGACCTTGAGTACCCTCAGGACCACAGAAGAAGGAAGAAAGGACTGAAAGAAAAAAAAAAAAAAGATGCCAAGGTCCTCAGTGATCTAGACACTCTAGACATTGTTTGTGTGCTTTTATAAATGTGAAATTATTTTATTTCTCCAAAACCCATGAGATATTATCATTCCTACTTTCTAGATAAGAAACAGTAGCAAAGATAAACTGTTTAACCTGTCGAAGGTAGTTGGTTATACAGCTAGTAAAAGCAGAGCCAAAGGAGTCTAGGTATTTAATCTGTGTAATATGTTGCCTCCCCTCAGTGTTTAATTCAAAATAAGATCAAGTGTCTGAAGCATGGAGTACTGGCCCATGCCTTTCGCCCCAGCACTGAAGAAGTGGAGGCTGGCAGATCTCTGGGAGTTCGAGGCCAACCTAGACTACATAGTGAGTTCCAGGACAGCCAGGGCTACATATGAGACCCTATCTTGAAATAACAAACAAACAAAAAAAATCTGGGAATAGAGAATTGGAGATAAATGCTTACTAGTTAAGAGTACTTGCTGCCCTTGCAAAGGACACAGGTTCTGTTCCGAGTACCCACTAAATGGCTCACCATATCTGTAACTTCTGACTCCCACTCCTCATGCATCAGGCACAAGTGTTGTACAGATGCATACATACATTTAGGTAAAAACTCAAACATTAAAAAAAATAAATAAAGGAGTTGGAGAGACGGCTCAGCAGTTAAGAGCACTGACTGCTCTTACGGAGGACCTTGGTTCAATTCCCAGGACCCATATGGCAGCTCACAACTGTCTGCAAGTCCTATACCAGGGGATCCAACACCCTCACACAGACATACATGCAGACAAATCATCAATGTGCATAAAATGAAAATAAATAAATAAAATCTTTTTTTTTTCAAGACAAGGTTTCTCTTTATAGTCTGGGCGGTCCTGGAACTCACTCTGTAGACCAGGTTGGCCTTGAACTCAGAAATCCGCCTGCCTCTGCCTCCCAAGTGCTGGGATTAAAGATGTGTGCCACCACTGCCCAGCAATAAATAAAATCTTAAAAGTAATTAATTCTAAAGATTCTGGAACTAGAGATCCCCAACACCCCAGCCCTGAGGTCCTTTCTTAAACTAGAAGCCTTAAAACCTCATCTGAGCAAAAAGACTGGGAACTGCTTCTGTCAGAATCAGAAGATGAATAAAGATGCCTCTCATTCATTAAACAGGATGAGGCACCTTCAACACAAACCTGATGCCAGTTCAAGAACGTGATTCTTCAGGGCTCACGCAGCTCTCTTTGGCATACTTTCTTGACTTCTGGAAAACATACTATTCTCTTCCTTAATTTCAAATGAGTTAATATTTATGAAGTACATACAAGTGGAAATAAAATGCACTATAACTCATCAGTGCTGTATAAACCACATCTTTTTCTTTTTCATCTCTACCACTAAGTTAGAGAGGCATGCTGCTTTTAGTATAGAGCCTGTAATATCCACTGGTAGCAAGGGTGACTCTTACTTTGGTGAGAGGCTAACCTACAGGATAAAGGGGGATAAATAACAACCAAGTACCAGAGGTGTTTCCACTAAGCTGACATCGCTTAATGCTTAAATTTGAAGAGAAATCCAGCCGTAGACAACATTAAAATGTCTAGTAAGATCAAAAGCATCAAATAAGCTGTCTCTGTCTCTCTTTTTCTCTCACTCTCTGTCTCTCTGTCTTTCTCCTCTCTCTCTCTCTCTCTCTCTCTCTCTCTCTCTCTCTCTCTCTCTCTCTCTCTCT